CAGCTCAGACATGTTCAGACATGTTTACGTTTATCTTGTCTTTTTTTTCATTCCTCGACGCTGCTAGCAGGAATTTGCTCCCGGCACCTGAAAGGAATGAAACTTTGGTGGTTTTAGTCCCATGCGCCTCCGTGCGAAATCCGTGGCCCAGCCACGCACTTTGAAGCTGAATGCAGGGTAGTGCCAGCTCGAGACAACATGACCTAGATTCGAGACCACATGCATCACAACTGTATTGCTGTGTTTCGTTTCAACCTTCGAAATGGTTGACGGATTTGCTCCTGGCAAATTAGAAGATTGAAACATGTATATTTTGTAATGCTCCTGGCACGGAGAGTATGAGGGCTGGCATGAGGAACTGCAGGAGAGCACCCAAAAAACAAAACTGTGTATTGGTTCGATTTGCGCAGGGTATAGGAGGATATACTGTTAAAGGTCGGTGACCATGTTTCATTGTGTACATCCAGTTCCTTTGAAGACATTGCGTGCTGCAGGCCATACCTTGGAAGAGCTTGAGGCGCAACCCAGCCGGGTGGTTTATAGACTTGAGACGTGTGAGACGACTATGATTACGACTATGTTGAATGGGAAAGCTGAAAATCTAGGTTCTGAGTGCTCTCTAATGAGTTGTGTTGCAGAAAAAACTCATTTGTTGATTCCTGAAACAAGTCTAAATGAAAATTGATGCAGTGGTACTGTATTTTTCAACTGAAAATTTCAGTGAATGTTAGCAAGCCAATTTAAATTCATTGGCAATGTCAAAGAAAAAAATGGGCAGCGTCTCCCCCTATTAGCTGATTATTTGATATGTTTTCCAGAGGCAATCTCGTTTTGAGTTTTTGTGGATCCACAAAAATTCAATGTTTTTTGTGGATCCACAAAAAGTCAATGTCACTTTTTGTGGATCCACATTTTTAACAGTAAGCCTTCAACTTTTTTTTGTGGATCCACATTTATGACATTATTTTTGTGGATCCACAATTTTGTGATTTGTTTTTTGTGGATCCACAAAAGTGAAAATATTGAGACCCTTTCGGACTTCCAGAGGCTTTCTGTATAGCACCTCTCATTCCATGACCTTCCGGATTCCGTCTCGATTCCCGTCTCACATCGTGAAAAGGGCGACTGTGTTTTGAGTTCCTCGCCGCGCCGCGCCGCGCGCTCCGCGCGGCGAGCCGCGAGGGACGACGCGGCCAGGATCTCTGGAGGGCGATCACTGCAACTGGCCGGTCCTGGACTGTGACAGCTGCATGGTCTTCCAGTTGCAGTGCGGCGAGTGCAACGGCCGGCTACCGGAACGTACCGGCCTGCGGATGCTCAGGAAGGCCAGAGGAGTGGGGGATCAAAGGGGAGGAAGGCTGACAGGATCCCCAAACATTGAGACGTCCCTGAGCCGCTTCCGCAGTGACCGAATTTGGAAGAAGAACATATCCCATACACGGGACTGCCATATATGCCGATCAGTTGGGGTGGTTTGGGGGGTCAATGTAGGCATATATGGCAGTCCCATGGAGTGTATGGGTATGGAAGAATCCCATCCGGGCTCCTGGCCGCCCCCTCCATTTCGATGGGACGTTCGGGGGCTCGGGTGGGTTGCTGGGGCGCAGGGAGCGGGGAATGATCGGCCCCCACCGACGGATCTCGGACATGCAGAGCAAGGACTGGGCCAATCCATGTCTCCACCCGTCGACCCGAGACCGGACCCAAAGCCTTTGGAACAGTCGGGACCCGAATCCTCGGGTCAGGGGTCGAACGGGTCGAACCAAATCCCGTTCTGAGGGACCCAGTCGGGCGTGGAAACGGAGGAACGGATGAATTGACAGACGTCTCCTCTTCTCCTTTTGGGGCTACCGCCTCCCGGGCTTTGCCGGAAAGGCCAAGCTGGGGCCAACCACTGCCCTTGCGAATTCGTTCTACAAAGTTGGTCAGTGCTAAGTGCTAACAGCAAGCCGGTCTGGCAATTGTGTATGCTGGTCTGTCATGCAAAAACACGTGCTCCGCAGCTCCGCCCGTGCTGGACCAGTCCATAGTCTATGATATCTTTGAAGTTTGGAGTTTCCCAGACACTCCATGGGACTGCCATATATGCCTAGATTGACTCCAAAAACCACCCCAACTGATCGGCATATATGGCAGTCCCATGGAGTGCCTGGGTTTCTTCTCTCCATTTTGGATGTGTTTTGTCTTTTTCACATGTTATAACCACCCATTCAACCGGTGGTCTCGCCAGGTTTGAACCTCGTCTCGGCCCCGGTTCCCGGAATTCCGCACCGAGCCCCCGACCCACCAGGTGCAGTTGACGAGTCCCGAGCTCACGGGAGATTTGTCCACCTTTCTGCGGGGCCTCAAAAGCGAAAGCCGAGTGATACCCCTCACCGAACTGAATCTTGAGCTGCAGATGTTGACGTTGAAAAATGCTTAGACGTTTTTGTTGAGACTCGAATTTAGGTGATCGTTTTGTGATCATCTTCCGAAGCCTCAATGATGTCAGTCTGCATGGGCCTCACGGAAAAATGCATGTATACTTCTTATAGGGGTTATGGGGTCAAAACAGAAACCTGGGAACCCTTACGAAGCCTTCGTTTTGCTTTCGTTTTCACCCCGCCGAGTATGCTGGACTTTCTTGTAGCATGTTCTTCCAATGTGTCGCTCTGTGTCAGTTGTCGATGAACAAAGGATCCATCAGTCCATCAACCTGCATCGATGTGATCGACTCACCGCATATCAAATTTGGGACACTCCCCACCCAACCAACTGAGGTGCTGAGGTGCCACCCTTGTTTCAAAGGTGGTGTCCCGGTGAAATACCACCCTCACAGGTGGTGAGCCTGGGCACCTGTTGCCACCAGGAAACACGGAGGGTCCAGGTAGATTCTGATCCCAACATGTGAATACATCTCTCTTCCGGACCGTCACCGGCGGGATGGACTAGTGTTCTCGCTCCCACGAGAAGCCCCACCCGCCCTTCACCGGTGCCCCCACATCCTTTGAGGAACCTACAGGGAACGAAGGTGACCGGCGACATCCGCATCCTGGCAGAGATGGTCACTACAGGCATCGTGACGGTGTCTGTCTTGCACCTGCAGGACACCTTGGTGTGGGGCGATTTGCAGGTCTTTCGCGGGATGCAGCACGCGTCGAAGGCGAGGTGTGTGCGTTTGAATGGATTTCGCGTCCCAGAGGGCGCCAACACATCCTGGCAGGGCGCGAATGCATGGCACCTGCAGGTGCAGATGTTTGCATATGTTTGATTGGAACCTCAGTTGGTTGGGTGGGCAGTGTCCCAACTTTGATAATATATGTCTCCGTTTTGAAACTATATAATATTATTATATGTTTGGAAGTCACCATGTTTCCCTACGTTCGTCCAGTCTGACCCAGTCAAACCTGGTCTTTGACCCTCCCTGGCAGTGGTTTTTGTATGACCATCCTCCAGTAATCCCGAGTACCTATTAAATGCCACCGAGTTTTCCTTATTAGGAGGGGGGGTGCCACCGTGTCCTTGTGGCTTTTGCTGTTCGGTCGATCCCAGGAGTTGGTCGGTGCGGAAGCCGGAAGCACCGCACGGTTGACCATGGTTGACCTGTTTGGTGCACCACCGGTTCACCGAGGAAACCGAGGAAGCTTGCAGACCTCGGAGATTTCAAGCATCACCCGTTTCCTTGGGTGTCTTTTTTCTTCAGTCTTCTATAGCTGATACTTATTACTCTTCCCGCTACATGGCAGTGGGTCAAAACCTGGAGCCCGTTTCACCCTGTATAGGTTGACCTCTCCAGAACTAGTCAGTCGACCTGTTCAGAACGTTGGACTCGTCGCGTCCTCAGGTGGATTTGTCGCGCACCGCGGTGGTCGGAGAGCTGAACGTCTTCGAGGAGAGCGGGGAGGCGCTCAACACGCTGAAGCTGAGCGGCGTCGCCGGGCTCACAGGAGACGTGAAGTGCTTGAAGTCCACCAGCCGCCTGCAAGTCCTCGACCTTTCGGACACCCCAGTGACCCTTGGACGCGCATTTTGGGGCAGTTAGGGACTTCGCCGCTGAGCCAGTGAGCTAGTGACAAAGAACATGGTTGGAAGTGAAGTTTCTGCTTGTGTAACTGTCAGATGAGATGCAGACGTGGAAGAGGCATCGAACGGCCCGTGCCGGTGTCTTTGGCCGTGCACCAGTTCGCATGGATTTGCCCCCCGCATGCTCGGTCCTGTGCAGAACACGGAAGAAGAACATAAGAAACCTGGAAGCCCTGGAGTCCTAGTGGTGCACCAGTATCGGTTTGAACACCAAAAGGGTGGCCCGCCAAGGGGGAGTCCAGTTCGTGGGGACTCCCTCAAGTCGTTGGGAAAAAAAGCAGTTGAGGACGGGAGACATCAGCATCTTAAAGGAGCTAACTCACATTCAGGAGGCGGACTTGTCGCGAAGCCAAGTCTTTGGACATTTGGATGACTCCTGGAGAAAATGTTCCTGGGCGTCAAAGCAAGAGGATCTGAGCAGTCAAAGGGGTCGAGTCCAGTCAACTTGTGAAGGTGAAGAGGAGTTACCTCCAATCAAGCCATTCTAATACTTAGGATGACTTAGGTGGACGGTGTATATATATATATATATGCACGTGTATGCACCCTTCAACGGATAGAATATAACATCATATAACATCTATATATAGTTGTTCTTTTACAAGAAAAAAACACTACGTAAGTGAGAGTAGCTAAGGTTCATGGTTAGTTCAAGCTAGTTCATGCTATTCCCTTAATTCCACCTTAGGCGACCATTTCTTGTTTTTTTGGCCTCAAGGTTCATGGTCAACAGTTGAGGGGAGGAACATCGTTTTCACCGGTTTCAGCTGACAGTTGGTTAGTGTCAAAATACTTGACCCCACTGACAGAGACTCAAATGGCTCAAATCCCAAGTGGTGGTTTGTATGGGATTGCCATGTTCAGTCTTTGAGAGAGGAGTCCTGCTTAAACAGGTATTTCGTGCATGAAGAGCTTTTGTTGAAGTTCAGAGTATTTTCACTGCCCCCCCACTTCACACAGTTGTTGGACTTCGCTGGGCGTCGCTGGCGAGATTCTGCCATGAAGAAATACGCAATGGGCCTCGTTGGACACCCAGGAACGGTGATTCCAAGAGCCAGACGAAGACCATGAAGAGCCTATCACAGTTAAACCAACCAGACTGTGATGACTCTTTAAGAGCTCGGAGAAACAGGAGAGCCCATGTAACAGTTACATGTTCGGTCGACCCGTCGTCCTCGTCCTGAGCCCTTGTGTTTGGCAAGGTTGTGACTATTTGGAGTTACTGGATGTGTCCAAAACCTTGGTGCACTTCTTACCTCAAGACCTCGAGGAGCTGCACACTTTGCAGAAGCATTGGGTCTCTGAAGCACCGCTCTTCCGGGCATTGACGCACTTGGACATCAGCCATTGTCGCTGTTTGTTCAAAGTGAACCGCTTTGCCAGGTCTCTTATAGATTCTTCTAGGGTATGTCGAGACCCCCGAGTCTTCAAGAGCTCAGAATTGGATCCCTCAATGGGTGCTTGACCTTTGCTGTGCACCCCACTAGACGAGGAGACCCCCCAAAGACCCCTAAGACACCTCGCGGTTCATTCCAAAGAAACCTCCAACACTTGCTTCAAGAAGCGACTCTTTAAGGTCCTGTTCTTTCAGGCTCTGTCGATTCTCTCAGGTCCAGTGAACAGATCGGTGCATGACTTATGGATGGTGTTGGCCATGTCACCTCATCTGGCGTCGATCAAAGCAGCGCACTGTGGACTTTCGGGTGCTCTTCCCCAGCTCCGACGGACCGAGGCCCCGGCACCCCCGGACCGCGGTTGATTTGAACCTGCATTTGGAGGAGAGAGATGCATCATGATAGACTATCACCTTTCAATTTGGTCTTGACATGTCTTGTAGTCTACAACATGCTCTATGTGTTTGTCCCACATCAGTATTTGCTGGTGATCGAGATAGGACCCCCACATAAACGATCTGTTTGTTTGATTATATAATATATGTATATACATATATATACACATTAAAGTAGTCTGAACGAGATACTGTGATCTGCTACTAAAGCTTAGTCTGAAGGAGATACTGCGACATGAGCTCCTACGAAAGTAGTCTAAATGAGATAGGGTCCCCACATAGTTGATTGTTTAATTGAGTTTAGTAGCAAATTAATGCTGCCCCTCATGTGATATACAGGACAATCCAAAAGCGGACACCTTTGCTATACAAAAATATGTGGATCTTTCAACTATGCAGAATGTTTGCCTTTTGGCTGGTTTGATGGATGAAAAGCTTAAAGTCTAAGCACGCGCCTAACATTGCAGCGTTTGAGCGGGGTGAGGCACGGCTACATTTGCATGGTCTAATAGCCCAAAAGGCTCAACATTACACCTATCCGCTGGCGAAGTCTCTTCAGACCTTGGATTTATCGGGCAACCACCTCACCAACTTCTCGGAGCTACCGGTCAGCAGCCGCTTACTCTTGCAGGACATGAAGCCCGGCTCCGTTTCTCCAGTGTTTCAGGCGTTTCTCTTGGAAATCCGGTTGTTTGTTGCAAAATATGGCTGCAAGTCAAGACCAGATACCCCGTACGTAGATACCCTAGAAGTCCAAAGACTATATGTTGACCGATGTTGACCGGCTGAAGTAAAGGAAGGTCCTTCAGTTCCCGTAAAGACCATTCTTTTTATAGTCTTTGACTCCCAGGGTATTAGCAACACCGGAGCCCGGTCCTTGGTCCGTTTTTGTGGGGTTAGATGGTGAGTCTTGCAGCCGACACGCCCAATGTCCATACACACCACTTTCGCATACGCGGGCGGAAAGGAAAACAGGGAAAGTTCTTGAGGAGCAGTCAGTTGTTGGCAAATAGCTTGCACATGGGGGTGTGATTCTCCCGCCAAATTGCACTTTTTCCCCCCCACACTGACTTTGTTCCCTCTACCGCTTTCTCAAGTCCTAAGGGAGAACGCTCTCGTTATCGGTGATGGCATTTTAGCTGAAGCACTGCAGAGTGAAGTGCTCCTGAACCTCTCCCAAACGGAGCTGGCGAACAGGAAAGAAGCTCAGAAGCTTTTGGCCTTAGGCGTCTTGCGCAAAACCAACGACTTCGTGATTCGTGACGACCAGCAGGGATGTACATGTTATGGCTTGGCTTCTCGGCACCCGTGTGCTATGTGGTTTGCCCCTCAACATCTCCGGACACATGGTTTTTGGCTCCAGAGAGAGTCGAACTTCTTCAAAACCCCATGAGGTGCTCCAAACTTCTCCATCATCCTAAGGCCGGAACTTCTATCCTTGTAACTCCTGCCAAGTTCTTGCCAGATGAACTTTGCCAATGCCTGGCTGGATGGCATGGAGTGGGCGCCACATGCCAGAAATGCCCGGGCAACTTCTTTTCGGCCTCCATTGGACAAAACGAATGTCAGCCTTGCCCTTTGAACAGCACGTCGGAGGAGGGAGCGAGTGCAAAGGCGCAGTGCATTTGCAGCCTGGGATTGTGGATTTAGATTGTTTTTGCATGTTTTTTTTTCCCTGTAGTATATATGTAGTCCTTGAACTCTGGAACTTGGTAGATGAAGCCTGGTGGACACCTCTCAGTTGGTGGTTCTGTGGAGAAAGAGTGGTTCTCCCTGCTCCAGGTAGCTTTGGACGCCTCCACAATGGCCACTGTGGCTGCGATCGGCAGCATGCCTTGCTGTTGGACAGCTGCGTGCCGTGTCACAAGCTACATTTGCAGTGCAACCAGTCCGGAAGTGCTGCCACCACCGCAATCCCACAAAGAGGCTACACGCGTTTGGAGCCCTTCGCACAAGAAGCTACTCAACTCGCTAAAATAAGCGACCGCTATTTGTTGCGACCGAACAGATTGTTGACTCAGTGGTTGATTCAAAAAGGGTCTTTACCTGTGGAAACTCCTCTCTAAACTCCTCTCTCAGGCTTACAAGTGTCATCCGCCAGCCGAAATTCGTTGCCCGGGTTTTGCTGACGAGCGTGAGCAGCAGTTCTGTGGAGCGGGGTATACCGGAACGTTGTGTGCAAGTTGCGCAGATGGATTTTGGGCCACTGGAAATCTGTGCCGGACTCTTGGCACGAGAGATCCATCCATTGGACCGCATGAGGGAAGGGGTGACATGTTTGCTGGGTAGGTCTGACATGAAAGCAGGTGTCTGAAGCCATTCAGTCAGTTTCTACACTACACTTTATTCAAATACCCCGGAGCACTTCAATTCTGTAATTAGCTTGGTCAATGAGCTTTGGATTTGGTTTGAGGATTTGCAGCAAAGCAAGCTGGACATCGTTGTGGGCGCTGGGTCTTTTGGCAGCTGCTGCCTTGCTTCTGGCGGCTCTGCTGGGTTATCGCAAGCTCTATGGACAAGCAACACCACAACCGCCCAGTGTGGCTTGCACTGAAAACGGGACGAGGATGACTCTTCAGGACATCAGGACGCCTGTTCATGACTGTTTTGTTTCTTCAGGATACGCACTGAAGCACTGACATTTGGATACTTGCAACTCTGACTTCCGGGCCAGACCGATCCTCCGATCGATATATGTTCTCCCCTGCTCCCCCATTGGATGCACAGATATGCACCAGCATCCTCGGATGCAAAAAGCATCTACACTCCCGGAGAATTCTCAATGCTGCCGCTTGGATATTGGATGACGAAAACCATCCGAAAACCAAAGAGGGTGGTGAAGGAAGCTCACTCCACTTCACCTATGGATTGTGTTCAGGAGAGGTGGGACTGGAACTCTCTGAGGCACAAAGTCTGTTGCTGAAGCTGCTGCTGTTGGAAAGCCCTGTGCTCTTGCAGACGGTCCAGCTGTGGGCTGTGCTAAGCCACCTGAGCCAGCGAAAGGAGGGGAATGGCACTGATGGCACCGGCACGAGCGTCCCATATCTGGAAACTTGGTTCGGAGATCTTTTTGCGCAGGATTACCTCTGCAAATTGATGCTTTAGGGGCAAGTGGTGGCAAGTGACAAGTCTTGGCCCAAAGTCTTGGAACATCAGCTTCGTGTCTTTAGTGCTTTACAGAACGGAGTTTGGTGTTGGGGTGCTCGCGGATAGATATCAGGCCACTTCAGAATCTGCATGTAGTTACTCCATGGGCCAGTGGACACATTGAACCAGCTTCAGTGTGCAGAGTGAGAAAAGGTGTGGTTTAGTTGACTTATAGTTCACTTGGGCAGTAATTATTAACATGATCCAGTTTGGTGATTGCCTGAATCGTATTTAGCGCTGTGTAACTTTGGACTGTGGAAACATGTGGAAACTATGGATATGACAGACACGTTTGGCACGGTGAAGACGCAACGGTTTCTAGATGGTTAAGACGCATCGGCTACCATTGCGGCAGTAGCCCTTGCTGCTACAGGAAGTTCCTTTGCCATATACCCCATTGACGGAACACAGCAGAACATTTGCGCCGGCTGCGCCCAACTGATTGTTGCCATCGCCGCACCCTGTGCTAGGAGCTAGCCAGTCTGACCCAAAGAAGCGTCTACTATCGTCTACTTCTCTACTTTGTTGTCCAATTGGTCCATACGATCGAAGCTTTCCCCTATGGACATAGCCACACATGGCCGTTTCCTCGTGGCACCGTGGGTCACCGTGAATCATGACAGAGAAGAGTAAAAGAACAGAAGAACGATGAGGATGGAGGTCAGACCTACCGTCGTGTGTTGTTCGGGCAACCTGGATGCTTTGACCCACAGCGCACAAACTGAGAAAGTAACTGAGAAGAACAACAGTTCTGACATGTTCTGACAAATCAAAAGGAAAGGAGCACAAAGGAGGGAGGGTGGGCAATGCACGAGCTTGGCCCAAGATCCCTCTAGAGGAATGGATTGAATTGGAACACCTCTTTGGAATCGAGGACCGACCTTCGACCCCACCTACTCGAGACCCACACCAAGGGCCCAGACCCAAACAAATGAACGCCTGCTTGTTACGCGACCCACCAAAACACTTGCCAGCAGCAAAGTTCAACACCAGCTTTTGTGGGTGCATGCCCATGATACTCGATGCACCAAAGCAAGCGCGCGCAGGATTGAGCACGCAGGACACCTCCGCCGAAGCGTCCTGCGTCCTGCGTTCGTCTTTACGCTCCGCAGATCAGGAAGCCCTGCAGTTCACAGTGTCAGATTTGCAAGACTCCCTCAACCTGCAGTGCACCTTCGACGGCACCACGGTGCGAACGCTGGCAGCTCTGAGCTCTCCGCTGCTTCCGCTGCTTCTGCGCCTGGGAAGCGAAGTAAACACAACGAGATTTCGGTGTGGAGGACAGCGGCATGAGATGGGTTTGTCATTGGAAAAACCTCCCCGCTTCTTGACCTCCTTTTCAGAGGAACGATAGGTCGACGGAGGATCTCCTGTTATAATATAACACGTATCCTGACCGAGCCGAACACCGGTCTACGGGCCGAGTCGACACGCCGCAGCGGTGTCGATACGATCCTTTCGCCGCCGAAAACGAGGCGAAACGCTCGGGAGGAAGGAAAGTACAGTACAGCTCCCTGAAAGAATCATGGAAGTGGATGGCCTTGGGTGGCATGCCGTGTTTCATGACCACAAAGTCCTCATTTCAACCTGTTCACTCCACTTCCGAGTTGTTCCTTGAGATTTCAAGGGTTGACCCATCAAACCCATTTGCGCAAGAATTCCTGGCTGCCCTTCCTTCAGGTTGGCTTGCTGCAGCGCCTTGGAAATCTTTCGTGCCGGTATGGGCGCTCCTCGGGCTGCAGACGTAAGCCACGGGGCGCGCCCGGTGCTTCGCCACGGGGTGGTGAAGACGTAGCCGGGTTGGTTGGGGATACAGAAGTTGGCTGCCATGAAGCACACCATGTGAAATATATGGTGAAACCCTCAACCCAAATCCCAGGGGTCCCACAAAAGTTGAACACGTCCCAATCCGTCCAGCTTTTTCCTCCAGCTTGGGGAGCTGGAAGGTCAACATGGCCCTAAAGACTCTCACCTTGCTCTTCATCGGTGGAGCTTCCAGTACCGCCGACTTGCTCAGCTGCCAATCCCTCGACGGAGGCGACGCACCGTGGACGAACGCACGCGAGTCCGACGGTTTCGTTCTGGGAACCTCCAGGGCCCGGACACTCCTGTGACAGGGACTGGCGGGGACACCGACACGGGTGCTTTTCGGTACTGCCCGGCGGGTGGGCCGAGCTGACTGCGAAGCTTGAAACAAGGCCCACATCCTACCGAGAGCTAGCGAAGCTTGCGCACTTGTATGATGGTAGATGGTTAATATATATTATGTATTATAGGCAAGTTAAACTTTAGCATGTGAAGCATCCCAAACTGCTGCGATTCTTAGATTAGAGATGAGTAGGGCTTGTTAACTGCAATCGATCCAGGAGTGAAACTCCTTTTTTGACATCCTTTCACCATCCTCATGGTCAATTCCAGCTATCCTTCACACTGAACCAGCCTCCTTTACCCCCATCTGCCCTTTCTTCCTCTTCCTCCTGCGCTGTCCGGGTCCCGCGCATGTTCCAGATGGCCATGCCTTGGGCTCTCACGCCTTTCGCCGGGCGCTCCCCCAGCTCCACTGCGACGCGGAGTCCCGCAGCGATGCTGTCGGGGCTTGGGCGGATGTGGTGGGCTATAGCGCGGCAGTGGGCTATGGGCTGCTGATCCCCTCTTTCTTGGCCTCTTGGTGGGCACCCAACAAGGGGTGAAGACAACTCCTGAGTGGGGGTGGGAAGTGGAACTTTCTGGTGGGAGTAGCGACATAGAATTCAACAGAGGTGTTATGTCGATGTTTTCATGATGAATTCAAAGAGCTTTGTGGGTAAAGACAGGGCTTTTGAAACAGGTGTTGATCCAAAAGGACATGCTGATCGAACACTCGTCTGAGTTCGTTGTCGCTGGACTTGCTTCGGATGCTCTCCAACGTACGGTCGGGCGACCTGTCCGTTGTTCATCGTACGTTGCCTCTTCTTTTGGGAAAGCATGGTTCATCCGCATGTGGTCCCTTCTAGATTCGGATCCTGTCGGCCTGGTGGAACTCCGGGTTGATGTCGTTCATAGAAGGGAACTGTGCCACGTCGCGATCGCTGTGTACTGCGCTTGGAACGTCCGGAATTCTGAAAAGCGGCACAACCTTATACTGCCTATTAATATTCCAGAAAACACACCAGCTACCGCCCCCGGTTTGGGGTGTCTATAAACTAGCTCCTTCTCGAGGTGATCTGAGGTATCCATTGACCACCCCTTAGCTATGGGTTTCCCATGATCCCTTTCAGGGGCCCGAAACTCAGACGATCGAATCAGACCAGAGCGACCGAGGCTGGCCTCATGGTGCGACAGCTTCTCGGCGGTTCAGGGCCCAAGAAAACAAAGAAACACATAGAAAAAACACATCAAATTAAGGTGTTTGTTTGAAAATACATTTAAACAACATACCATATTTCTTTGCTTTTCAAGGATCGGAGCAGCAATTAAATGGAGCAGTAATACAAGTACAAGGTGACAAAGCATAATGTCCTGGATGCATGGGCAGATTGTTGCTGAGCATCTTCTTTTTGTCAGTTGTTTTCTTCAAGTGGCGTCGACACTCCCTGTGACTGAGGTACTTTGCGCTTCAGTCAGCAAGGCTTTGCCTCGCGCATGCGAGGGTTGAGCCTGCAAAAGTGATCATTCACATACAGACCGCTCGAGGACAGCTACACCCAAAAATTCTTCCCAAGCGGCTCGTAGCCACTCGGTGTGGCCGAAGGTTTGGGAGAAGCCGCTCCGAAATTTGGTGGTGATGACAGGGTTTCTAGTGCTTTCTAGTGAACGTGTTTTTTTGTGTATTGCGTGTTGTGTTCTTTTCTAAACCTAAACAGAAAAGATAACCTGCAGACTGGATTCTGTTTCTTGTTTGCTATTTATGCATGGTTTCCTTTGTTTGATGGCTCAATCAAACTGGGTGCAGGATATATACTTGTGACGATGATTCACTGAATTATCTAATTTCAATGAATATAGTTGTAAGTTGTAATTGTTATCATGTAGTAGTAGGAAGATGGTCCTGTGTTACTTGTCCAGGACCAGAACAACGTCGGCATGTGTTTAACAATGAAGGTTCTTGGATTCGGCGGTTATGGGACCTCATCGACTTGGAGGACAACTCATTCAAAAGCACTACTCGGGACCAGAGGGTTTCAGGACCTGTGGTTTTCTGGGCCAGACTGGACCTGTATGGGTCTCCTTTTTTCTATGTTACTTCTTGCTGTTTGTGTTGTGAAAAATCGAGTCCTCCTCTTGAGCCAGACTTCAGCTTGAGCACACCTCAGGCAGCTGCAGCCGCACACCTGTCGGTGCATTGCCGTGGTAAGATGCAGGTTCAGCTGCAGGAGGAGCGGCCATCCCAAGCAAGGATTTAAGGTTCAGCGGCCAGAACTCATCGTGAATCTCGTGAATCACGAAGGTGATGCACATGTACCTATACTCTGTACAGTTCTGTATCATGTTTCCCCGCACCAGGTTCACAGAATATGCACAGTAATCTGCACCTATACTCTGTTTGAGACCTCAAGTTCTTGAGCAAAACTTGCATGCTTTGCGCTAATGTATAATCCTAGTCCTATTTACTCTTGGAACATCATCGATCTACTGTGCCTGTTTTTCGGCCACCTTCCACTTCCAATCCAGCGCTCGGCGCTTCCCTTCGGGTGGAAGGAGACCGTGACCTTGATCGCCGAATCGCGGGGTTCGACCGACGACGCGAACGAGCTGGATGCCCTGAAACTGGTGGCAGACGCAGAGACCTCGCAGAACTTGGATGCGTCGATTGGACGGCAGGGACGTACATGGCAAAGACGTACTGTGGCAAGCTTGCCGTGGGATTCGGGACATCAAAGGAAAACACATGTGAGGCACAAACATAGTGATGTATAAATATCATATATGATGATTCCAGCTCCCACAAGATTGAACCTTGTAAGTTGGGCCGTTCTCAACCTGCGAGAATCACGGGCACGGCTGGGGTCTGTGCATCGGTCCAGGTTGAAGTGCCGGCGCATCTTCGAGATGTTGACCGAGCGGACGATGCTGAGCGAGGCAAAGGATCGGCTCCTGTTGGGCGCGCAGCCTTTGCTGTGCAAATACACCTTGTGCCAGGACGGGGGACCGACCACTTGGGGGGGGACTAAAACGATTTGTGGTGTTTTGTAGGGGATGAGATGGGATGGTTTCGGCCAAGAAGTTTCTGATTTTTGGGCAGGAGACATCATGAGACTTTGTTGTTAATGTCCTAAGTTTCTCACATAGTGGCTACGGCTAGGGCCACATCTCCCTTTGGACTCGTATACTTAGACCCTTAGCCGCTTTGCTTCATGAACCCCCCTAAAGGTATCTAAAGGTGAAAGGCAAGATGGTAGCTCTTCACTGCTTGTGAGATTATGTCAGACTCTTGTGATGTTGTTTTTTTGTTTCGGACTTTTCCTCAGCCGTATTAATTAAATTATTGAAGAAACAATAATTCTTTTGCGCTCCCCGCGCTATCCATTCAGTCCTTGACGTAGGATTAGAGTGAGAAACTTGTTCATTGTAAAGAGAGGCAAGATGATTGAGCATTGGAAGAAATTGGACGATGTTCAGGATGTTTGGATGGATGTTGCCATGAAGCTTTATGCCGTCACCTTGGTCTCCTTTGTCTCAATGTCGGATGCTTGGAAATTCACCGTGGCACTATGTTTGGGCATGTCAGTGCTCGTTTGGGTTTCACACCCCTACATGCATCCCCAGGCGGCTTGGCAGGAAGTTCAGTCAGGGGGGCTGAATGGAGCATGTAGAGAAACAGAATAGAATTGGTAGAATGAGATGCAGGTCACGTGTTTTCCGGAAGCTCACATTGCTTGTTCGTTGCACCCAAATCTGCTAATATGCTTTTCACCGGAGGGAAGAACGTCCGTTTGTACGTGCTGGCCCGCGCTGGCAGAACCGTTTGGTGTTCAATCGTTCGGGTACCTCGGTGGCGCCACCGTCCAGTTGGCGACCTTTTTGAACACCAGAAGCGACCACTCCAGAACCCCATACAAAGGACCGTCGCATCCAACCCACCATGTTTTTTTTCCATGGAGTTGAGCTCCAGAGTGACTCCGCGCATGTGGGAGGTGAGCCATTTGCAAAGCTTTTGTTGCTTTGCCTTGGCCTTGGCTTCAATGGCTTTCATCCAGAACTGCTTCCGCCTGGCACAGCTGGTTCTTCTGGGGCCCCTGCTGCTGTTGCTCTCACAGGCGAACGTGTCCGGGTCGAGCGGCGAGACGGGTCGGGGAGGGGAGAGTGATGAATACGTATTCCCCTAACAAGAAAGCAGGACGGAAAGCAGAACTGCAAGCATCTATAGAGGTCATACATATTCCCCTAGAGGAATTGGAATTGGAATTGATCATTGTCATACAGAAAGCAGAACTGCTCCATTCTCTTCCGGAGACTGCAGGACCTGTCCAGTCCTGGACCTCAAAAATGAATGTGTTTCAACTGAAAAGAGATCACCGTCGTGTCAGTTTCATCCGTCTTGGGTCAAGATCCGGTTTTGGGCGCTGTGCAGGGTTGTCGGTGACCCAGAACAGATGATACAGGCTTCTGTCATGTTCTCAACCGGGCGTGGCGAAACGTTGTTTAACAGGAAGACCGGAGGCCGGGTGAATGGGCTATTCTCCTTCTGGAAAGGGGATCTTTCAAAGGCGTTGATGGGTTTGGGGGACCCGAACAGGGCAGCAAACAATCATAAATATGTAATATACTTATTGTCAATCAGAATCTACCAAAAGAGATTGATCTATGACAATCATCTATACATATTTATAAAATCATATGTCATAATTGTAGGATCAGTGGGAATCGACATATTTCTCGTTGGGTGGTGGACATGGACATGTTCGGTTTTACAATACGCAGATATGCAGAGATCGACTCTGGTCTCACCCGTGGGAGGTGCGATGTCCTGACTGCACAGAGGCCTTGGCTGAACGTTGCTTTCAGGACCGTGAGGCGGTCCGACACGGTCCGAGACACGGCGGTGCAGCTTCGTGTCCCCTGAGGTTGTGGCCCTTTCAAGTTCAATGTGATGTGTGGACGGTTGTTGGATTTCTGTGTTAGGATTCTTGGGCAGGAGTTAATATAAGCTTAACAATCATCTTATAGTTCCTAGAAATTAGCAGTTGTGGGGAAGGTTTCATTGGGCATGTTTGAATTTGCTCATCCGTTTTTTTGCGTGGAACTGGTGGGAAGACGGTCTGGAAGTTCGTTCCATGACCGGCGGCACTGGTCGGTTCGTTCAATTCCCCCCAACCCGGTGCCCAACAGAGCGCTGTTTTTGTTTAAAACCCTGGCCGGGTCAATGGTCTCCCTGGTGTCTCCCTGTTCCTTTGTGCTGTCTCCCTGTTCTTTTCGGAGGTCCAAATCCGCTGTTGGTGTCTTTTCGGAAAGGACCTCGTCTCATGAGTCCACGATGAGTCGGGTCTGCGAGGAGTTGGAAGAGCAGCTACCAAAGCTGCAAGCCGGTGAAGCGCATGAACTCCACGTGCGACTCTTGCGCTTCTGAGCCGTGCGAGACGCGCTGGAGTCGGACCACAAAAAAGCCGTGCAAGTTCGGACGGAAGAGGAAGAGGAAGTGATGACACCATTGGGGTCCTTGGAAGGGCCTGGCTGGGGGTGGCTGGGGCAACAGACCTACAAACATCAGAATCATATTAGCTGGCTGTATGCTGGCTGTTTATGACTGTATATATTGGGTCAGTCTTTGCCCTAGTACCTGTAACAGTCGGTAATACCGGTAAGCAATTATCACCATTATTGAACAATTGCCTTAACTATATTACAATATAAGCATATCATCATCCACTGCTACTGCATGGCAATGGGATATGAATATTAGCTAATCATAGAAGACGTGTTGCCTCAGCTGTTGCGCCTTCTGGTTTACACCTTCATGTTGTGTGAACCCTGGTGGTTTCTTCCATGTCCAGCCATAAGTTGAGTTGGCAGACCTGTCACTGACCGAAGCTCATCTCAATCCTTCCTGAAACAAAACCACTGGGGCCATCCTTGGATCGATCCTGAGGTCACTCGGACGGACAGGCGCCGAGTCGGAGCCAAGGGACCGGTGCAGGACCTTGTTCGCTCAGCGACGCGGTTAACCGCTTATAGGTGACAGGGTGGGGCAGGGTGGTTCTTTGGATGGACTGATCAGTCGCGTCTTGAGACAGGTATGGGCGTTCGGGACTGGATCAATCCCGATGAACTAGACCTGTCGACTGCCAAATTTAAAATAGCTTTTTGTTACTACTAGTAAGGCACCTGTTACTACTAGCGTGGCACTTGTTACCGTTAGAATTGCCAGGCTATGATGGCGGACATGTCCTTTGCTTCGGTATACCGAGCCCTTCGCATCGTCGTGTGCGTCCCCTCGTCACTCGGAAGACGAACCCGCAGGCGTCGCCAGGCGTGGCTGTGGCCGTTCTCCGCGGGTGAAGGGTCTCGGTGGTGGGGCGCTTGTCAACCCGCGTATCTCGGGTGCTCCAAAAGCTCAGTGGTTTCGGTGGGTGCTTTTCAGGTAAACCGCTCTGAGTCTGGTGGTGATGCCAAAGAACCGGTGCTCCGTGGAGGAAACTCCGACTCGGATCCTATATTGCTATAGCGGATTCCTACCGGTGGTTTAGCGTATCTTTGCCGGAGGCTGGGATGCTGATGTAGAAACCTAATTAGGTCGGGTCCGACTTCGGAAGTGCCTTCATTGTTCTACGCCATGAAGAATTCATGTTTCGTCCAGCTCCAGAACATTAAGTCTTCAGCTCGTTTGAGATCCACATGACATTCCTCGGTGTCATGCCAGGTGTGAAAGACTCAACGCCAAACGTCCGGAAGACCTTTGGGTTAAGACCACCGAGCTCCAGGTGTCACAGCCCGCTCGTGCTGAACGTCCGAACAAGGAAGGAAGGAAGGAAGGACGGAAGGAAGGAAGGACGGAAGGAAGGAAGGAAGGAAGTCGGGTTGCCCCCAACGTCACATTCACGGCCGCATGAGACGAGACAAGACACTCAACTCCACCTGACTCCATGTGTCTTGACATGCACCACACTACACGGTGCGACCCGCGGTTTCTCGAGACACCCGGCCTTCAGCGACAGATGCGATGGAAGTCACTGCGGATGGGCATTTGCACACCGCGTGGGGTCGGGCAGCCCCGGTCGTGGTGGTTGTCCGATGACGACATGATCGAAATGGATGGTGTGAATGGTGTGAAAGGCTGGCAGTTTCTGGCAGTGTAGACTCTTGCTTCGGTTTCATCCTCCCATATGAACATCAGAGGTTTTCCGAGGTTTTACCACCCACGGTGTCGGGTCTGAGCGATTTCTCCGCTTCGGTCCTGCACTGAGGCGAGACCGCCCCAGCGGAGGAGGGCGACCGAAACGACCGTAGTGCCTTTGTTTTGGGAGAGGAATCACATTGGGGTCCGTGATAGACCAGTCTCCTGGCTAGTCAAATTGTTGGAGTGTGTTTTTGTGTGTTTTTTTCTATTTCCCGCTTGTTAAGAGATGCTTCAAGGTGTCTATCGTGAAAAAAACAAAGGGTCATATGAAATGAGACTTCGATTTGGGATTCCAACGAATCATATTGCTATAGGCTATAGGCTATAGTATAGTAATAACCTTTTGGACACCAAACAAACAGAAACACACACCAAACCAACTCATCAATTCTTCCAAACACCCAACCACCTCCGCAGACAGACCTCGATCCAACCGGCAGGAGGGCTCCACCTCCGAAAGCCCGGTGGTGCCGGTCGTCACGAGGTGGGGCCGTGCCCGGTGGGGCCCGGTGGAGTCGACCGAGGAGAGGAGGAGAGGAGGTTGACGTTGTTTGAGTTGAGTTGGATTTCACTGTGAACTAGATCGCATAATGAAGCATATATTATGAATTGCAATCATATCATATATAGGACGGAAAAAAAAGAGTTCCGGTGATGCCAGTGGTTATCATGATTCCGAAGGAACATCAATGGGCGCTGGAGTTGGATCGAGACCCTTTAAGATAAAACTCCCAACTGGTCTGCTCAAGCACTCTGAAGATTCCAAGAGGGTCCAGGGTACACTCCCTAACATGGGAGTGGAACACGGACCTCTTGGAAGACCATGAAATTCTCTACAAACAGCAAACAGTGCTGTATGTGTTTTGACTTTTTCCGTCTTTTCCACTTTCATCTCAGCGAAAACAGGGTGACCCTTTCATCGATCCTCATGCGGGACTTCGCCTTTCTTCCGAGGCCCGATGAGGACGACAAGGATGGGAAGCTGGACGAGGCCCAGGACGACGTTTTCACCCAGTGGGCGGTGAAGCCGAAGAGGATAGTGAAGACGCATGCAGACCATCCATGTATTCATCAGTATACGTATCGCATGACATACAGTGGGGGTTGTTTGTTGAGATGCTGGAACAGGGTCAATGTAGATGTTTTATTCCAGTCCCATGGGTTTGGGCCAGACAGTCCCACTTGGTCGAGATGTCGGGGACCAGCCTTCTTGGTACCCCACCAGCAGTCGGCAGGGTTTGGTGTTTGGCGAACATGTTCTGCCCAACAACCACTAGTGTAGGATCCAACATAATGAATGTCTTGCACCATGGCGTCAATCATATGATCCACCTTATCATGGTTGTGTATTGATTCTCTTTTAAGTCCAATTTGTTGAGGCTGGTGACTGTTCAGAAAGTCATGCACCACACACAGGTTGGGCATGACCGTTCACGGTCAATAGACCAAGCATGCCATCCTGCCTCGCCGGGCAGATGATTGATGAAGTTGTGCTCAAGGACTCGCGGAACCGGCCGGCAGTTACTAGAAAGCTTTATTGTTTCTGTAAGAAGCTTCAAAGACTAAAAAACGACATTGTTACTCACGAAAGCTAGCGAAGCTAGCTGGAGTTACTCTTGCGATAGCAAGGTTTCTTTCGACCGGGTGCAAATCCTAACCCCTGATTTTTCAGGTCGAAGACTTGGATTGTGTTCTCAGGGTCACTCATTCGTCTCACTAAGGAT